AATTTAACCCCCAAAAATCTCATTTTTCCTCGTTTTTCCCCATTTTTTCACCCCAAACCCCACTCCCGGTCCCTCCCAGTTTGTCCCAGTTCCAAATCTCCATTTCCCATCAATTTTACCCCCAAAATCTCATTTTTTCACCGTTTTTCCCCGTTTTTTCACCGTTTTTCCCCGTTTTTTCACCGATTTTTCCCGTTTTTTCACTGTTTTTCCCCGTTTTTTTCCCATTTTTTCACAGATTTTTCCTATTTTTTCCCCCCACGTCCCCTCCCAGTGCCCACCTGCAGGTGGGTGATGTTGTGGTCGATGTTCATGGTGGAGGTCTCGCAGTTCTCAGCGATGTATTTGTAGTCCTGGGGGCAGGGCTCCTCGTCCACGCCGTTGACGCAGGGGATGGGCACGTTCTCGTGGCCCCTGGCCACGTCCCTGGGGGGAAAAGGGCAAAATCCACTGAAAATCCCAACAGAAAGGGCAAAAGGGCAAAAAAATCCGGGCAGAAAGGGGAAAATTCCTGTGAAAATCCGGTCAGAAAGGGAAAAAGGGCAAAAAAATCCGGGCAGAAAGGGGAAAATTCCTGTGAAAAAAGAGCAAAAAAATCCCGCCAGAAAGGGGAAAAGGGCAAAAAAGTCCGGGCAGAAAGGGAAAAAATGCAAAAAAATCCGGGCAGAAAGGGAAAAATTCTCAAAAAAATCCAACCAGAAAGGGAAAAAGAGCAAAAAAATCTGCCCAGAAAGGGAAAAATTCTCAAAAAAATCCGGGCAGAAAGGGGAAAAGGGCAAAAAAATCTGGCCTGAAAGGGGAAAATTCTCAAAAAAATACAGGCAGAAAGGGAAAAAGGGCAAAAAAATCTGGGCAGAAAGGGGAAAAGTGAAAAAAAATCCGGCCAGAAAGGGAAAAAGGGCAAAAAAAATCCGGGCAGAAAGGGGAAAAGGGCAAAAAAATCTGGTCAGAAAGGGAAAAATTCCTGTGAAAATCTGGTCAGAAAGGGGAAAAGAGCAAAAAAATCCGGGCAGAAAGGGAAAAAATGCAAAAAAATCCGGGCAGAAAGGAGAAAATTCCTGTGAAAAAAGAGCAAAAAAATCCGGGCAGAAAGGGAAAAAGGGCAAAAAAATCCGGGCAGAAAGGGAAAAAGGGCAAAAAAATCCGGGCAGAAAGGGAAAAATTCCTGTGAAAATCTGGTCAGAAAGGGGAAAAGAGCAAAAAAATCTGGACAGAAAGGAAAAAATTCCTGTGAAAATCCAGTCAGACAGGCAAAAAGTGCAAGAAAATCTGGCCAGAAATGGAAAAAGAGCAAAAAAATCTGGTCAGAAAGGGAAAAATTCCTGTGAAAATCTGGACAGAAAAGGGAAAAGTGAAAAAAAATCCGGGCAGAAAGGGAAAAAGAGCAAAAAAATCTGGTCAGAAAGGGAAAAATTCCTGTGAAAATCCGGTCAGAAAGGGGAAAAGAGCAAAAAAATCTGCCCAGAAAGGGAAAAGTGCAAAAAAATCCGGGCAGAAAGGGAAAAATGCAAAAAAATCCGGGCAGAAAGGGGAAAAGTGAAAAAAAAATCCGGGCAGAAAGGGGAAAAGTGAAAAAAAAATCCGGCCAGAAAGGGGAAAAGGGAAAAAAAATCTGCCCAGAAAGGGAAAAAATTCTCAAAAAAATCCAGGCAGAAAGGGGAAAAGTGAAAAAAAATCTGGGCAGAAAGGGGAAAATCCAGTCAGAAATGGAAAAAGAGAAAAAAAATCTGGCCAGAAAGGGAAAAAGAGCAAAAAAATCCGGGCAGAAAAGGGAAAAGTGAAAAAAAATCTGGTCAGAAAGGGAAAAATTGCTGTGAAAATCCAGTCAGACAGGCAAAAAGTGCAAGAAAATCTGGCCAGAAATGGAAAAAGAAATCCCTAAAAAAAATTTTAAAAATCTCCCAAATATCCCAAAAAAAAATCGCAAAAAAATCCCCCAAAAATCCCTTTAAAAATCCCGAAAAATTCAAATAAAATCCAAAAAAAATCCCAAAAATCCCCAAAACCCCTACAAAAATCAACCCCCTAATTAGCCCTAATTAGCCGTAATTAGCCCACCTGCTGACGATGCGCTCGGTGTGCAGCGCGCGGCGCAGTTTGGGACCCAAAAAAACCCCAAAAAATCCCCAAAAAATCCCCAAAACCCCTACAAAAATCAACGCCCTAATTACCCCTAATTAGCCCTAATTAGCCGTAATTAGCCCACCTGCTGACGATGCGCTCGGTGTGCAGCGCGCGGCGCAGTTTGGGACCCAAAAAAACCCCAAAAAATCCCAAAAAAATCCCCAAAAATCCCCAAAACCCCTACAAAAATCAAACCCCTAATTACCCCAAATTAGCCCTAATTAGCCGTAATTAGCCCACCTGCTGACGATGCACTCGGTGTGCAGCGCGCGGCCCGCCGCCCCCAGGCGCAGTTTGGGACACAAAAATCCCAAAAAATCCCAAAAAAATCCCCAAAAATCCCCAAAAGCCCTACAAAAATCAACCCCCTAATTAGCCCTAATTAGCCGTAATTAGCCCACCTGCTGACGATGCGCTCGGTGTGCAGCGCGCGGCCCGCCGCCCCCAGGCGCAGTTTGCGGTTCAGCTGCAGCGCCACCCAAACCTCGGAGCGCTCCGGGGTCAGGTCCAGGGGGGAGTCGCCCTCCTTGTTCCGCACCTCGGGGTCGGCCCCGCGCGACAGGAACAGGCTGCGGGGGCAGCGCGGGGGTCAGGGACCCCTCCCCGAATTCCGGACCCCTCCCCGAATTGGTGGGAGCCAGCTGGGAGCACCCAAATTCACCCCAAATTTAAGGGATCCCCCCATTTCCTTTAATGGATTCTCCCCATGGGATCCTCTATGGACCGCAATTTGGGAAGGGGGGTCAGGGGCCGCCTGAGACCCCCCAGCTGGGAGCACCCAAATTCACCCCAAATTTAAGGGATCCCCCCATTTCCTTTAATGGATTCTCCCCATGGGATCCCCTATGGACCCCAAATTGGGGAGGGGGGTCAGGGGCTGCCTGAGACCCCTCCCCAATTTCTGGGACCCCTCTCCAATTTCTGGGACCCTTCCCAAAATTCCTGGGACCCCTCCTCAAGTTCCAGACCCCTCCCCAAATTCATAGGACCCCCACAAATCCACCCCAAATTTCAGGGATCCCCCCCTTTCCTTTAATGGATTCTCCCCAGGGGATCCCCTACGGACCCCAAATTGGGGAGGGGGGTCTGGGACTGCCTGGGACCCCTCCCTAATTCCTGAAACCCCTCCCCAGTTCCTGAGATGCCTCCCCAAATTCCTGGGACCCCTCCCCAAATTCCAGACCCCTCCCCAAATTCATGGGACCCCCACAAATCCACCCCAAATTTCAGGGATCCCCCCCTTTCCTTTAATGGATTCTCCCCAGGGGATCCCCTACAGACCCCAAATTGGGGAGGGGGGTCTAGGACTGCCTGAGACCCCTCCCTAATTCCTGGGACCCCTCCCCAAATTCCAGACCCCTCCCCAATTTCTGAGAGCCCTCTCGAAATTCCAGACCCCTCCCCAAATTCAT